AAGTTGAATTGGAATTCTTTAACAACGCGAGCACATTTTAAAATTCTATTACAATCTACGTTTATTCTGAATCAACCTAGGTGGATTCTAAATCTACAATAATTCCATTCCGACGTACGACATATATAATTTAAATTTAAAAAAAAATTAGTTAAAAGTTTCGGAAAAAAAGTGCAATTATGAAGCTATCTTGATTTAATAGTCAAAAGAAAGCTTAGATATTAAACTTTCTTTTGACTATTCAATCATCAAGATAGCTTCATAATTCATAGAAATATGAGCTGTAAAATTAAGTTTTTGATCTTTTTTTTTTTAAAAAAAAAAGACTTGATTTCTATTGACAGCAACCGTATAATCTAGTCTTGTATTTATTTTTTTAAATTTTTTTCAGTATTTTTTTTTTTTTTGAATTTGTAATTAATTTTTTTTTTCAACTTAAATAAAGTATATTTTATAAAATACGAATCAACTGATAGTTTTGAATAAACTAATGTTTTTTAGTTTGCAACCCGGAGTTTATTGACAAACTATATCAAATTACATAATTACTGCTCTCAACGACCTGTGGGTCCGTTAAATTATTGAAATAACAATTTCGAGTGACATAAATTGAAAATTTATGAATTTGATTATATTTTATTTATGAAGCTTATCATAAACAAATTTTGACAATAAATAACTATAATAAAATGTTTAATTTTTTAGCAAATTATATTCTATCTTTATAAAAACTTTAAAAGTTTAACAAATGAAAAGCAATTACAAGAGAAAAAACTATCTTAACAACTTGGTTCTGGTAGATCGCATGTAGGAGGAGGATCATTTTCTTGTCTTTTGAACAAAGAAAGTAGAGAATTGTCTTCTTTTTCAAATTTGATGCTTCATTGACATTTACCATTTTTGCATTGTTGTGATGGACTACAACAGTCATCACCACAGACAAAGTTTTTATCGCAACATATCTGTAATATGCCTTGAACACATGTTTGTAAAGAAGAACAACAGTCATCACCACAGACAAGGTTTTTATCGCAACATATTGCGCCTCCAACACATGTTTGTGAAGAAGAACAACAGTCATCACCACAGACAAATTTATTATCGCAACATAAGAAGCCTTCAATACATTTTTGTGAAGAAGAACAACAGTTATCGTTGCCACATTTCGTTTCTGATGGAGAGCATGTAAAATCTCGTTTTCTGGACAAAGAAAATAGAGAATTGTCTTTTCTTTTCAAATTCAATTCTTCAGCGACAGTGAAAATCAAAAATGTGAGGATAAAAATTATCAAGAGCTTTTTCATGATGGTAATTTAGTATACTTTTTATTATCTACACCTTTGATTAAAAGAGCAGTATTTATAATAAAAAATTTTTTTAGTGTGATATCACTATTATTTATTTATAGCTATATATGAATAGTTAATTGGCTAGAGCCATTTTACAAATTTCCTTAGAAGTGTGTCTAAAGTGAAGTAATTAAAATTACGGGTAAAACTTGTTTGAAGTTGAAACTAGAATTTATAACTTAACGTTAATTAGGCTATGCAATTTTAAATTGTTACCGTTATTGTAATCGCGGTCTAAACCTCCCCCAAAGTCTGAAACGTTTCGGCCCTGGATTTTCGGTATCGCCCAAAATCTAAACTTCCGAAATTGCCGAATCTTCCGAAATTGCCGAAACCTCCGAAACCTCCTAAACTGGGCGAAACCCTCTGAAACTGAGCTTCCAAATTCATATTTATGACTTCTTTCGGATCATTTCGGAAACTTGCTCTATTTTTGCTCTCATGCTCGTATTTTACGTTCAGTGAGTTTCTACTCGGAATATTTCGGAAGTTCCGTCCATTTCGGAGGTTTTACCTCATAGAGGACATTCATCTGCTTGGCTGATGTAAATCAATTACCCGGGTAACTTATTTATACACTTTAAAGTACTTTTTGGGAACACAACGTTTCACTAACAAAAAATCACCGTAAAAG